TATAAAAACAATCTACCTGTGTTTCCCAGATATACCTAATATATTACTTATATAAAAACAATCTACCTGTGTTTCCCAGATATACCTAATATACTATTAAAATAAAAACAATATACCTGTGTTTCCCAGATATACCTGATATACTACTAAAATAAAAACACTCTACCTTTGTTTCCCAGATATACGTAATATACTACTAAAATAAAACAATCCACCTGTGTTTCCCAGATATACCTAATATACTACTAAAATAAAAACAATCCACCTGTGTTTCCCAGATATACCTAATATACTACTAAAATAAAAACACTCTACCTTTGTTTCCCAGACACACCTAATATACCAGCAAAATATAAACCTACCTACCTTCCATATAGGTAAGTAATCATCTCCTACAACATATGTTTCTAGATCGACTGGATCAAATGGATAATATTCTTTGACACAAAATCTAAAAAAAAATATTTATGCAGATGTCAAATCATAACAACACGTATGTTTTCCTATATCCGAGGCCATATTAAATAAATAAATATGTTTAAATGGAAACACTTTGCAACTGCTAAAAAAATAAGTAGAGTTACATGAATAATGGTTTCATTTGTACTGGAAAGATGGTTTTAAAATATTGAAACATATAGTAATCAAGTAATCTGCTACACAAGATAACCACACAGTGACTTTTTATACCTCGGGTTATTTAGCACACAGTTTCAAGTCTGTGGCAGTTCCTTCTAAACTTTACTTCAAGGATTACCTGTTGGATTTTGAATAACAAGTTTAGAAAAACTGGATATATGGGATTATAGTAATAAAACATCTAATAGTACTCAAATAATCTAACAATTACAATAATCTTATTAAGGAAAACTGTTAGCACTAAAGAACCTTACTAGTAACAATGTTCATAAAACAGATGATGTTTTTAATATTTAAATGCTAACATAAAGTTAGATCGTACAAAGACTACAGAGAGAAAATCCCAGAATTATTTTAATAAACAATATACAATCTCACAACACAAAAAGATTGTTTAAGGATAAGGTCATCAGGTGTTTTATATAGGTACATAAAGAAGGATGTCTGGTTAGACTGATAGATTCTAAAAATATAATTATGAATCAGCTTATTTCTGGATTATAATTTTGTGAAAGATCCTCATAATGAAATGAGAAATTTACAGTTTGATAATAATGCATACAGTACAATGTTTTGATGTAGAATCTTTTTACACTAAGGGTAATATTCCTTTCGAAAACAACTTACAATTAATAGCTGACCTTCTATGTTACAAAGAAGATCTTAAAGTTATTAGGATTTGCCACCAATAATTTCAAACTTATTAACTTAAGAGAATTTAATTTAGTATAAAATAATGAAAAAAACTGCTACACAAGAGAAAAGCAATTAATGTCAGAAAAATCAAGAAATCCAAAGATAAACTGAAAATTGACCTAATCAAAAGCTCTTCAGATGCTTGAAAATAAAATGGTGGCTGTTGGATATACAAGACTGTTTAGTGTAAGAGCTATTATTTAGTTAATATAGTGATCTAACATTAACGATTATTTAGTTTTTGTAACAAGAGTGTTTAAAGTTAATTATTCTAAAAGCAATAGCAATGACAAATTTCGTTACGTAACGCGGTACAAGTCATATGTTATGTGTATAGTTCAATTGCTGTAAATTGATGTCAAACAACTCAAACTTTCTGTATTTTTCTCAGTGCCTCAAGTGAGTATTGTTACATCATAGCATCTTGCAGTTTGTTGAAAGTTCTAGGCTTCAGTTGGGCAAAGTGCGTGTGTGTGTGTGTGTGCAAGTTAGGTCAGAAAATGTTATTAGTGAAAGTGAAGTTTGACTGCGTGATTGTTAGATTAGCCATAATGGGCGATATTAAAAGTGAGTTTCACAGCTTGTATTGTAATAACAGAAACAGAGATAAAGGAGAATAATTTGTCTTGTCAAAGGGTGTTCTAAAGTAATTGAACCCATCTATGTGGACTTTGACAAAAAGGAGACAATTAGTTAAAGTTCTGGATACAGAATTTTCATACATATGTTTGACTTGTTTTAATATATATTATTTTAAAACAAGTGGATTGTGTGCTGTCCATATATTGTTCCAATTTATCACCAACAAGTCACGGACATCTACTGTAAAGAATCCCAGCACCTTGTCCAATAAAACCTGACATCTATAGTCATTTTAAAGCTGGTTCCTGTTTTAATAAATTATTTACTGTGTAATTATTTTAGCATTGTACTCTTTTTAACTGTATATATGTACATATTGCATAAGTGCTGTTTTAAATTATATTTAACATAATACATACCGCAGCAATATGTCTCCATCAAATATATAAACCCGTAATGGATCTACTGATGTTAAAATGGTATAAACTCCAACATCAAATTTCCTGAAAAAAAATCAAAAATACTCAACACAAAATAAAACAATGGAAATGATAAAACCAAATCCCTTTATCAAATTAAAAATTTTAAGAAATTCAGTAGAAAAAGAAAATGATAAACGAAAAATGTAGCATCATATCAAATTTTAATTAGAATATAAATTTCTAAAAACTAACAAGTATGTACAATATTCTATAAGTGTTATCAAACAAGAAAGAAACAGCACAAGATGCAGTAATCGGACAAAGACAAGAACTGGGAAAATTTTCATTTCTTTAAAACAACAGTGTAGTTGTCCTTAATTTTGTGTTATTGATATAATATTCAAGAGATATGCCTCAACATACCAAAAGAATAAAGAACTCTGTCATAAACAACAATAATACAACAATAAATCAGCAATACAAGAACAATAAATCAACCTGTCATCAAATGTTAATGAATCATTTTTCTACAGCTACCTTAATACTTCACATCCAAGTCGACATACTACAAGAACAATAAAATAACAATACAACAATAAATCAACCTGTCATCAAATGATTATGAATCATTTTTCTACAGCTACCTTAATACTTCACATCCAAGTCAACATACTACAAGAACAATAAAACAACAATAAATCAACCTGCCATCAATAACAATAGGATTATGAATTATTCTTCTACAGAAATGCCTTCTCTAAGTCGATGTAGCACATGAACAAAGAAAACCATCAAGAGACAAATCAGGCTACCTGCCATCAATAAGTAGTGGATTATGAATATATTCTTGTACAAAGGTGCCTTCAGACTCGAGATCTAAATCTCCTATTTTTTGCACACTTATTCCTCTATGACTGTTGCTCTTCTGGACCCACATCTTCCAAGGGTTCTCTCTAGCCTGAAAGTAGACCAATATGAAACTTGTACGTTCCTTCATCAAATAATTTAGGACATATACTCAATTTTCCCATTATAATACATTTGGTATATTTATTGTTGATACTAATAACATTAAGATGAAAAACTTATGTGCTAATAACAGTACTTTTCTGACACAATTCACTGTATCAAGAAATGAATGCTTTTTACTTAAATGCTATGCTATTTTTTGATTGGATGATGCTCAAAATAACCTCACACATACAAATTGTTCACAAAAAGCTTTCTCAATTAGTACTGTCCTCTATTGGTGCAAATTATTTTCTCACCACTAACCTTGTAACCCACATTTCTTTTTGCACATCTACATGCAAATGATCATGCAGCAACCCTCCACCAATAGGAGGTCGACACTATCCCGATCATAACTAGCACCCTCCTAATAATGCACTTGTTAATCATTTCAAGATTGGCCATGACCAAGTCAACAAATACGCCAAAGGTGGGAAGGATAGGTGGGTATGTAATCGAAAATACATTTTCAGTTTAGGAAAATGTTAACTTCCGATACAATATCATACTTCCTCTGAATCCCACACTGAACTAGTGGAGGGCCAGTGATCCTCCTCTAGAAAGCATCCAAAGAAAGACCATATGGTATGTAAAATAAATTAGAAACATCACACCAGTGGAAGACTGCACTACTTCCGAGCCAGGTATACTCTTCAGCCTTGAGTGAAGTTTCGCTAAAGAAATCTGAGGCCTCTGGCCAGGCAAAGAAATTGGACAGGAGTGGAATAGACTTATAGGTGGGAGAAGATAGGAATGGAAAGAGTGAAAACATATTTAATCTCCAGATCAGTAGAAATCAGATGCATAAAGGAAACAAACAAACATATCGAAACCTGATCACAAAACATTGAAAAACGATGATCACGGGCAAAAAATATGATGAACAAGAACAGCAAATAAAGTAATGGATCTCCTGAAAAAGGTTAAAATGAACTCAGAGGGAGCTGAGGCAAGACCAAACAAAATCACTCTAAACTGAAAACACACACACCCATGAAGTATAAAATGAAGAAAATTGTCGAGATGCCGGGGAAATAGGAATATGGAGACATGTATCCAACAAGTCAACGTACATCATCCACAAAACAGGAGTGAAAACCCCTAACAAGAACGATCTACTCACAGAAGGGACCCTGGAGAAGTAAGACCTGAGCCACTCTGACTGTGGTAGTAAGAAAAGGGATCCCACTTATGGTGAAATAAAGTGGATGGTGATACAAGAAAGGATAAAGGGGGGGTAAAAGAACCCTAAAGAAAACAGGATCCCAACCTGGAAGGACCCAACTTCATAGCAACCACACCTGTAAAGTGAGGCTAAAAGAGGAAAAGCGTGCCATTGTAGCAAAAAGGAGAGGACTATGACCAACAGAAAAACAAATAATGAGACTACAGAACCACCCCAACCAAAAGGCAAAGGGAGATAAAGCATAAACAATAATGTATAATGTAATAGATGAACAGAAAAATTCTGAGGTAGTGAAATGCAACAGAAGTACCAGAGTCTGAACCCCACACTGGAAGAATAAAAATAACAATCCAAAAGGTGTGAGATGAGTTATGGGTAGGTGGAATGAGAAATGCATAAATATATACGGGAAATAAAGAATACTGACCATTGAAAGTGCGTGTACCCTAAAATAACTACTTATGAACCCCAGTATCTGGTTAAGAAGAAAAAAAACCAAAGAAGATTAGTCCACAAAGAGGGTAAGGGTAAAATTGAAGGAAAGAGGAGACAGAAACACAGAATAAAATACCTATATAGGGTGAAGGAGGCCTAGGAAAGAGACCCCAAAATGACACATGACAGAAAAGTATGTTCAGGAGGATAAAAACAAACTACCCTAAGTCACATTCACCCATTCAGACAGATCTAGGTGCTGGTATGACAGGCTGCTCAACAGGTTATACAGAAGATTCCCATCACACGAGTGGCCAACAACTATTTTAATGCCATCGCAAATGTAAATGGGAAATATGCCTTAGCAACAACAACAACAGTGGTAGTAGTGACCACGTGAAATCATGAATGCATAACATACAGAGTCAAAAACAAAAAATCAGAAAAGGGAGAGTAAATAATGAAATTTAAATGACCTGATGATGACAAAACCTTGTACATTTGCTGTTATGTTAAACTTATTAAAGTTTTTCTTCATTACCCATTCAAGCCGTCTCCAAGCATAACTAAATACGTATCAGCATGATGTCTTCCAGGGCTTCTATCTAATGGCTTGGTCTTAGGATCCTGTAATGAGCTAACTAAATAGATGTCACCATGATGTCTTCCAGGGCTTCTATCTAATGGCTTGGTCTTAGGATCCTGTAATGAGCTAACTAAATAGATGTCACCATGATGTCTTCCAGAACTCCTATCGATTGGCTTGGTTTTAGGAGCCTGTAATGAACTAACTAAATAGATGTCACCATGATGTCTTCCAGGGCTTCTATCTAATGGCTTGGCTTAGGATCCTGTAATGAACTAACTAAATAGATGTCAGCATGATGTCTTCCATGGCTCCTATCACACATCATTTGGTGAACTAGGTTTACTGGATTAACACAGCTGAACTTATGCTAAAGAGTGCCCATTGCTACTCAATACACTGTTATGGCAAGGATGTCATCTCGGCAGCTTTGATTATCTCAGTGTTGGTATGCAAAGGAATGCCCACTGCTTTCTTGATACATCACAAAACCTTTTACCTGTATACACAAATCACCAGCTTACCACACAAGACAGTGTTTTTATGGAAGATGGGACTCCTGACCATTCAGGCCGAGTCTGAAAACGACGACTTGAAGGTCAGAGCATTACTAATCTGCCATGGCCAGGACAATCACTGGATATGACTCTTGCTGAGCATGTGTGGTCCATCCTTGATTGTTTAATGCAAAACTACTCTACACAATCAACTTGTAGGGACACTCTTGTCCTATCAACTTCTAGGGACACTCTCTTCCTATCAACTTTTAGGGACACTCTTGTCCTATCAACTTGTAGGAAAAATCTTTTCCAAGTCCTTTGCCAAGAGTGGAGGCACAATCCCACTGGCCCTGATCTCAGATCTTGTAAATATTGAAAATAACCGTGTTTTTGCCTTAAAATTGCAAAGGACAGATAAACTAATTACTGATTGTAATCTTATACTCTGTTTGACGTTTGTTTATCAAATAAAGTGGCATTCATTTTGGAGTGGATGTCTATTTACTTGCTATTAAGTTGTGTACATAATTTACTATGCAAAAACTTAGAACTGAAATAGAACTATGGTTGCAAGTTACTGTTTAAAAATTCATCCAACAAATAGCTATGCTTGTACATAATTTATTAGTACATGTAAGTAGGTCTGGGCAATTAATCAATTACTATGAGCTTTAATCACATTGATTATTGTCACATGGCATAATGAATCTATGTCTCATATATAACAAACTAACCAAAACTAGTGTATCTGGTTGTTAACATTTTCCAACTATTCCAGTAATTGAAATATTGCCATTATGAATTTTCATTATTATTTTAGAACAATTTGAGGTTATTCAGATTAATCAGTCCTTGTTATGACTTATGAAAATAACCAAAATTTGAGTTTTTGAATGTTACTATTTTCAAGTATTCCAACTATTCAAATATCACATGAGAATAATTGATTAGTTGAATGTAATCAATCCCTCTCTATATATAATGTAAATTATTGCATGAACAAGTAATCCACTTACATACTGCAACAGTTTCTCCTTGTCAGTAGGGATCTTGAAAGCTGGTGGAATGTGTTTGAGCATAGATGTGGCTAAGTTCACTTTGTTGGTGATGTAACCTGAGCCTGGGAAATGGTTTACCTGAGGAAAAAAACTTACATACTTCTAAAGCACATATACAACATGAAAAATGTGTCCTAGACAACCAGAAAACCATTACAGAGCTCGAATATCACAACTTTACTGTTTTACACAAAGTTTTACTAGATTATTTTTTCTACATTGATTATAAAATATTAGTACAGACATGCTATCAACTACTGGCATTCTATAAATAGCTTGGGCAAAATATAAACTGTTCTCAAAAAATGATTTACGTTCTTGTTTTATATTTGTTGTTAAGCACAAAACTACAGAATGAGCTACCTGTAATCTTCTCACCATAGGTATCAAAGCTTCATTTTGAATGTTGTAAGCTCCCAGACTTACTGCTGAGCCATCAAATGGCAATTAATTAATTATTATTAATATTAAGAAAATGGCAAGGCCAATTTAATACAAACATCATAATTATTACAAGAGCTTTTTATTATTATAATAAAATAATTCTATAGGTTATGTTAATGTAAGAAAAGTACCCTAATTTGTAAAACAACATAGTAAATAGCATGTTTCGCATAAGGAGCATTTTGTAAATGAAAACAACAAAGACAATTGAATAAGTTAAAACGTTTTCCTTATTCTAATAGATTGAATGAGTTTACAGAGAATACACAAGCCATCTGAAGAAGATAAGTGCAGAATAACTTATGGTTTCAAGGGTATTTGATATCAGAGAAAAAGAGTACAAACAAGGTATAGTAAACATATCACATATAAAGTTAGCATCTTCAACCTGAGTTTCAAACTGACCAGTACAAACAAAGGACTACAAACAGATCACATTTAAAGTTAAAATCTTCAACCTGATTTTAAAACTGACCAGTGTACCATCGATCTATAGCTGCTTAAAAAACAAAAAGAAAAGAACTAATTCATATGGATAATTGGTTTTCAATTTCTGAATCAAACACTCACTTTCTGGTGAGGCTTTAGGGTCTGCATATATGAAGACAGTTCTGTAAAAGGGTAGTCATGAGCCCATAGGACATCCCACTTGGACTGACTGTCACCTTGCTGAAAACCCAGTCTTTCAAAGACAGCAAACACATGTTTCAAGTACCCAGTTTCTAGCTATAGTGAAAATATATACTTCATATACAAATGTTGTAGAATTACTGGTCAATAAAAATTATAACTGTTTTTGGGAGGATATGTAATTACCAAACAAATTACTAGCAACTTATCCTAACAATCACACTTCCTGTCAAAGAGTCTTTACTGAAAACAAATTACTGGCAACTTATCCTAACAATCACACTTCCTGTCAAAGAGTCTTTACTGAAAACAAATTACTGGCAACTTATCCTAACAATCACACTTCCTGTCAAAGAGTCTTTACTGAAAAACATTACTGGCAACTTATCCTAACAATCACACTTCCTGCAAAGAGTCTTTACTGAAAACAAATTACTAGCAACTTATCCTAACAATCACACTTCCTGTCAAACAGTCTTTACTGAAAACAAATTACTGGCAACTTATCCTAACAATCACACTTCCTGTCAAACAGTCTTTACTGAAAACAAATTACTAGCAACTTATCCTAAGAATCACTTCCTGTCAAACAGTCTTTACTGAAAACAAATTAAGACATTACTGTAATGAGAATGTGAGAAAGCTGTGTATAAATATGAAACACAGCTACAATTGTTGCATAGAGCTTGAACATTATTGTTCTCAAAACACTTAGAGTTTATCACTGCTTCAGAAGCTTCTTATTTCTGGCAGTACTGCACTGGAAAAGAGAAACTTTGACAGCTACTCAATACATTTCCAGATTTCCATGGTATGACATTACTCAAACTTCACATTATCTTATATTTTGTTTTTATTAAAAAGTCATTCCTAGTTTATTATTAAACTTGTTTACATTCATAGAAAGTAGCAGCATGTTGTCAAAATTAAAGTTATGTTCATATGATGCTTTAAAGTAACTATACTGGATGTTGATAAAATCTGTTCAAATCCCTTGCTACAACTGGTGTTAGATCCTAGTTCACAGAGCAGGTTAGAAACATCAATCCAAGAGAGAGAGAGAGAGTTCTAGGCACCAACACTTACATAAACTAAGTTTGTAAGATTATGACAGTGTTTTTATCTATGGTCTCTACACTTTATTGTGACATTATTTTCCACCTTTCTTCTCACATACATTCATTCCTTGTTAGCTTCAGCTACAAAAACAATGCTTTTCTATAAGAAACTGCAGCTGACACGTAATTCAAGAAATTAAAATACAAAAAGTAAGTAATCAGATTAATACTTCTAACCTTCTTCCCATGAACCCATACAATACGACTCTGAAACTCCTCTGGTGCCTTAACCTTTTCTTTCAGATGAAAATTATTATGAAGTTCTTGATCTTTCTGAAGGCGACGAAGTTCGTACACGTTTAATGCCGTGAGTAGGATGCCAATAATTAACACAGCAATAATTAAGCTCACTGAACGAGGTACCTTCCAGGGACTGGAAGCCCAATTTCTACCATACATTTTCTTGTGATCATCATCTCTCTAAAATTAGAAGATAAACAGCATTACATCACTTAAAAACAAACTAATTGTACAAGACTAATTTTGGAACTTAAAATGAGTATGTACAAAATACTAGCTGTATTACACCACTCTCCTACTTGTAAAAACATATTTTAGCAACCAAAATTAAAATTTTATTTCTTTCCAAGTTTCACAAATTATAATCAAATTTCTGCTTATCAGCAACACAAATTAACATCTTCCTTCTAACAAAGTTTCATGGTTATTAATGACACAAGTTAACATCTTCCTTCTAACAAAGTTTCACAGTTATTAATGACACAAGTTAACATCTTCCTTCTAACAAAGTTTCATGGTTATTAACGACACAAGTTAACATCTTCCTTCTAACAAAGTTTCACGGTTATTAACCACACAAGTTAACATCTTCCTTCTAACAAAGTTTCACAGTTATTAATGACACAAGTTAACATCTTCCTTCTAACAAAGTTTCACAATTATTAATTACACAAGTTAACATCTTCCTTCTAACAAAGTTTCACAATTATTAATTACA